TAGGAATTGAGACGGAAATTGAGACAGATGTTTGGAGTGTATCCAGTGGAGGTTGGGCCTCGTCCCTTGGATTTGGGGAGGAGGGAGAGGAGGAGGTGAGGGGAGAGTTTGAGGGGAGGAGTCGGGGGGTTGGGGAGAGGAGTGGGCAGAGAGAAGGGAAAGGTAAGAGGGAGGAGAGTGGGAGAGAGGGTGGTTTGGGTGGGGGGGTGGAGGGAGGGGCGAGTGGGGAGGGTGAGGAGGAGGAGGATGAGGAGGAGGAGGAGGAGGAGGAGGAGGATGAGGAGTGGTATCGAGAGTTGCTGAAGAACATGCGCGATGTTGACTTAGGGTTTGGGAAAGAGGAGATGGCTTCTGAAAGGGAAATAGTCGGGGCACGTGAGAGGGAAGAGGGGACTTTTGGGGAAGACGAGGGCGCATTTGGGTTGAGTCAAAGGGAGGCTAGGGAGGCTCGGGAGGCTAGGGAGGCTCGGGTCGAGGAAGGAGAGGAAATGGAGGAGGGCAGGGAGCGACAAGGGGCCGATGGGGTTCTGCTTTTTGGAAAGGAGGCGGGAGAGGGAAGGGAGGGGAGAGAGGAGGCGCAGAGGGAGGAGAGTGGGAGGCGGGAGCGTAGCCCTTGCAGCACTGACAGCGACGTTGGCACCATAGCTTCGGAGGCCACCGACGCTGTGCCGGACCTGCCGTTCAGGCTCGGAAAGCGGTTCTACAACATTGATTCGATGCTGAACATGCGCGAACCTGCTTCTGCTGCCGCGGGGGCTGGTGCGGTTGGGGCCGGTGGGAAGCTGTTTTCAGGGTACTTGGATAGGAAGGGACGTGGAAGGACGCTCATTGATGGTGCAGTGGTGGGTCTGGCAGTGGGGGCATCAGTTGGGGCGGTGGGGGCGGTGGGGCCGGTTGGGGCAGTGGGGTTGGGGAGGGCTGTGGGGACGGTGGGGGCGGGGGCGAAGGTCTCAGGGGGAAATGAAGGGAAAGGTGAAGGGGGTGGGGATGAGGGGAGTGTGGTTGAGGGGAGTGTGGTTGAGGGGAGTGATGGTGGCGAGAAGCGCGTTGTGGTTTCAGTAGAGGGAACTGGAGTAGGAGGAGGAGGAGGAGGAGGAGGAGGAGGCGGAGGGGAAGGGAATGAGTTACAGGGTGCTGATGCTGCGGCTGTTGCTAATGCAAATAATGATGCTGCTGCTAATTCCGATGCTGCTATTGATGCTGTTGCTACTGATGCTGATGTTGGTGCTGATGCTGCTGGTGCTGATGTTACTGCTGCTACTGATGCTTCTACTGCTGTTGCTGCTAATGCTGATGTTGCCGTTCCTGGTGCTTCTGCTGTTGATCCTGATACTGTTACTGCTACTGTTGCTGCTGATGCTGATGCTGGTGCTTCTGCAGTTGATGCTGATGCGGCGGCTGTTGCCACTGCAGTTGCTGCTGCTGGTGATACTGACGCCGGTGCTGCTGCTCCTGATGCTGCTGCTGATGCCCCTTCGTCTCCTGCTGATGGTGATGCTGATGTTGATGCTGCATCTGCTGGTGCTGTGCCTGATGATGATGCTATAGCCGATGGAGGTTTGTTTGGGGTGCAAGTGGAGGGCTGCAATAGGCAATCAGCACTGGCAGACAAAGGAGCAGCTACAGCACCTGCAGCAGCGGCAACAGAAGCAGCAGCAGTGGAACATTCACCATCAGCAGCAGAAGATGATGAGGGACTTTTAGCGGATGCAACAGAAGATTCAAGGGCAGGAGATACACCATCAGCAGCACCAACAACGCCAGCAGCAAATGGTGACAGTAATAATAATAAGGGCAACGATGACAGTAACGAGGGCGAGGGTGAGAAAAACGAGGGCGAGGGTGACAAGAATGAGGGCGAGGGTGACAATAATGAGGGCGAGGGTGACAATAATGAGGGCGAGGGTGACGAGAATGCGGATGACTATGAGGGTGAGGGTGACCAAAACGAGGGTGACAATAGCATGCGTGACAGTGAGAAGCACGGGAGCGTCGAGGGTGACAATAATGAAGGCGAGAGTGTGTTACGTTCGGAGCATCCGGACCTTCTGCAGTTTGACGAGGTTTTCCGAGCCAAGCAGGCTCGGCGGCAGTGCCATGCCGAAGCTAAGGCCGCCGTGGCTGCAGCTTTGGACGCTCAGGATGACCTGGCAGATGCCGAGGCTGCATTGGAGGAAGCTTCCAAGGAAGTTGCGCGGCTCACCGCATGTACTGACATGGAGAATAAAAACACAAGTCTAGAGGGGCTTGTGAAGGGGGAAGGGGTTGCTGGTAACAAGGTTACATTTGAATTGACGCAGAAGACAGCAAGGTCCGACACAGAGAATAAAGACACAAATCTTGAGGGGCTTATAAAGGGGGAAGGGGTTGCAGGTACCAAGGCAGGGGTTGTGGTTACGGTTGATGGGGAAACTGAGGGGAACGGTATGGGAAGCAAGGGTTGCGAAGATAACGGGGAGGGGAATAGGGAGAGGGCAGATGGGGAGGAGGAGGTGACTGAGGGGGAGGAGAGAACTGCTGAAGGAGGGGAGGTGGGGGGGGAAGTTGCACCAACAGTTGAAGAGGAGGGCAGTGGGGGGGTTCCAGGTGATGTGTCTCTTTCATCTGCCCGTTCTTCTGCCCTAGCTGCCCTGGAACGAGCCCAGCTTGCTCGCAACGAAGCTGCTGCTCGGATGCGTGCCCAACGACGCCGGGCAGCTGCGAAACTTTCGGAGCTGGAAGCTGCCCGGTCCCTCTACACCACGCTGCTTCGGGCAAAAGAAAAACGGGTGGCTGAAATAAATAGTGCTGCTTATGGGCTGATTGGGGAGATGAAGGCGGCAACTGGGTGTGTAACACCTGGTGTGGTAACCCCACGAGCGGGATCTGCTGCTAGTAGCGAGTTGCTTGATGTGCATCACTGCACCGATGGTGTAGAGGGTGACGGTGTAGAGGGTGACTGTAACGAAGAGGGCTAACAATGGGGAACAAGTGCGTAGGGTGTCAAAATGCTAGGCCAAAACGAGAAACAGGCAAGAAGGGGTTTTGACTAACAAGCATAGGGATACATATATGCAAACCCTAGAAGGGCTGTACTCGCTATAGAGTACCCCACTGCAGGCTAGACAACCATCACATTCTGACACACCCCCATAGTCAAAGTGGGGTACAATCAACACAACAAGCAGGCAGAGCAATAGTTCACAATTATAAGCAAAGCTAGAGGCTATCACAGAGGGCAAGTGAGGAGGAGGAGAAACTGTGGGAGCAAGAAGATGAGAGGCGACGGCTGAAGCTGCAGACACACAGGCAGCAGGAGTACGCCGCACTGACGCTACCAGGCTAAACCCGGACTACACGGCGACAGGGGGTCGCAGCTGGCTCGCTGTGCTCCCAGGGGTGCACACACTGTAGCTACCAGGTGCAGAGCCCCGGACTACTCAGGCCACAGGGGGTCGTGGCTCCCTGGACTTCAGGCGCTGCGGACGACAAGTCGACGGCCTCCTCTCAACTTCCCCCAGCTGTCCCACCCCCTTTTTACACACCCCCTGCTGTTCCCCTAGCACCGCTCACACTACACCCCCTAGCGCCACTCCCTCGGCTCCCACACACCCACCCCCCTCAGCGGCAGCTGCAGCAGTGGGAGACGGAGAAGGAGGAGGAGGAGGGGAACGGCACTCAGTGGCTTCACCCCCATACCCCTCACCCCCAAACCCTAATTCAGGAGAACGGGCTGTAGGAGGAGTGGGGTGCCAGTAGAAGCACGGGGGGCAGTGGGGAGGGCAGGGGCAGCGAGGAACGGGCCGCCCACGGGCCTGGCATAGCCGCCCGAACCGCGCGCAGGCGGCCCGAGCCGCGCGCGGGCCTGGCGCTTCCCGTACGGGCCGCGCGCGGGCCTGGCGCAGCCCGTACGGGCCGCGCGCGGGCCACGACGGGCGACGGGGGGCGACGCGCGGGTCCCCGTCGCCCGTCGCAGCGCCTCCCGGGGGCGACGCGCCGAGTGACGGGGCAGAAAACCGCCGCGCGCCCCGGGCGCGCGGCGGGGAAAAAAAATCGCTGCGCGCCCGGAGCGCGCGGCAGGCAGGAAACAGCAGGAAACAACAGCGGAAGCTTCTGGTGGGACCACCCACAGGATCGACCCAGGAGGGTCGACCCGCTCTGATAGCATGTCAAAATGCTAGGCCAAAACGAGAAACAGGCAAGAAGGGGTTTTGACTAACAAGCATAGGGATACATATATGCAAACCCTAGAAGGGCTGTACTCGCTATAGAGTACCCCACTGCAGGCTAGACAACCATCACATTCTGACATAGGGATGGGGGAGATAGTAGGCATGATTTTCCGTTTGAAAGAAACGAAGTTGGTGTAAGAAACGAATTGAAACTACAGCTACAATTTTGTAGCTTTTTTTCTGTCCACTGGCGAAGGTGGCAGCCATTAATATTCATTGAGGGAAACAGGATTGGGTTTCCTCCATGAGTGTGCAAGGATTCAGCCTTGCAACTAAGTGCTGGCCAAGAAAATTATGGCCTTGGTGATTCATTTAGGGTATCAATATCTTTCTCTACCAATGAACAATGTTACAGCATCCTAAATTCGTAAGCATCAGGCATACGGTACCCTTGCACATGCGACTGAGAATCTACCCTCAAATCTTCCAACTGTTATCCAACACCACCAATTACCTAAGCCAACGTCCTTGTGTAAATCTCCCGCCCCACCCCATCTCCTAACGAGATGTCTGAATTAACGACGGTATCTCACACCTCTTCAGAAGACATCTCAATAGCCTTCCAATGGTTGTCCCGAAACCAACCAATCGTCCAAACCAGCACCGTTGTAAATCTCCGGGCCTTGAGTCTCGCCCGCCCGCGCAATCGAATGAAATTCCAGAGGCTCCTGCAAATCCAAATCCTGATTCTCGATCGCCGGTGCACGCGAAGGGATGGCAGACGGCTCCGGGAAATCAGTCCAGATGCTGTTGCTTTGGATTTCTGACTCCGTGTCAATCCACATGCCGATGTTTGGGTTCCTTGTTGCTCTCGAGTCCATCTCGCAGCAGATGCCGCTGGTGCTGCCAGAGCTCTGCCACGGGGTTCCCATCAACATGTCGGTGCTTGGGATTGCTGTGTCCACCTCGTTCCACATGTCGCTGGTACAGCCAGAGCCGTGCCGCAAGGTATCTGTTGATGCGCATATCTCCGGCTTTAGAGACGCATCGAAGCTTGGGAGTTTTGGGTTCGTCTCATTCCAGATGCTAGTGCAAGGAATTATTGGATCCACCTCACTCCACAAGCTGGGGTTAGAGCTGTGCCGTAGGCTTTCTGTCGATGTGTGTGTCTCTGATGCAAAGGCGGCCAGGTGGGATGGGTCATCAAGGCGTGGATTAGGGTAAGACAGGTTAATGTAGGATGGATGAGGCTGGGTTGGGTCAGGCTGGGATGGGTCAAGGCAGGATGGGTCAAGGTGGGATGGGGCGAGGTGAGTTGAAAAAACTTCTGTTGTGTCTGCTTGAAGCACGAACTGCCATTTGGGAACAAGGGGATGGTAAACAGGGGTGGGAAGGAAGGGTAAACAGGGGTAAGATGGGAATGGAGCGGGTCTGCAAAAAAAAAAAAAAAAAAAAAAAAAATCAATCAACAACAACAACAACGACGACGACGACGACGACGACGACGACGACGACGACGACGACGGCGACGGCGACGACGGCGACGGCGACGGCGACGACGACAGCGACAGCGACAACGGCAACGACAACGACAACGACAACGGGAAAACAAAAGACAACCACATGATGATAGGGAGCAGAAGCCTATTTGACTCACCTCATTTAAGAATTGGGTTGACAAATCCAACACTACAGGAGCAGCAGCAGGTGGAGAAGCAGCAGCAGCAGCAGCAGCAGCAGCAGCAGCAGCAGCAGCAGCAGCAGCAGCAGCTCCAGCTCCAGATGCAACAGTAGGAACTGCAGCATAAGCAGCAATCAAAGGAGCTGCAACAGCAGGAGCAGCACCACCAGCACCACCAGCACCACCAGCACCACCAGCACCAGCAGCACCAGCACCCTCAGCACCGTCAGCACCAGCATCACCAGTGTCAGCAGCGCCGTCAGCAACGCCTGAGTCCATACGTGCAGCAGGAGCCGGGCTCGTTGTGCCGGAAACCCCACCAAAACTACCGTTGCTGCTGCTGCAGTGGCCTGGAGAAAGGCCACGGACAAGGCCCGGGGAAAGGCCAGGGGCAAGGCCAGGGGCAAGGCCTGGAGAAAGGCCATGGACAAGGCCCGGGGAAAGGCCAGGGGCAAGGCCTGGAGAAAGGCCATGGACAAGGCTTGCACACGAGTCAAGGCCATCAAGCTTCGCTCTGTTTCCCAAGGCACCGTGCAGGTGAAAGAGCCGTGACAGCACCACCTCTCTCTCAGGTGGGGTCAGAAGCACCCCCAGCAGGAAGCCTAGATCGCAGTTGCTGCTCGTGGCAACTGCTTCACCGGTTCCTGGGAGCTTCCACTCCTGTAAGTGAGCCGCTGCAGAGGTTAATGAGGCTGTTTGCCCTGCTGGGGCAGCTGGGGAGGCTGAGGCAGCTAGGGCAGTTGGGGCAGATGGGGCGGCTGGGGCAGCTGGGGCAACTAGGGCAGTTGGGGCGGCTGGGACAGTAATGACTGCTGAAGCTGCCAGGCTTGATGATTCTGATTGCCCTGCTGGGACTTCTCTGCCTGGCATACCTGCCGGGCCCGCTTGTTTTATGAACTGGTCTGGAGAGCGCTGCAGCAGTGCGAGGTTGCTACACTGCGCCCCTCGCGTGGTGCAGGCCGTTTTTGAAATATTTGGGAAGAACAAGGCACCGCTGCCAGCAGCAGCAGCAGCAGCAGCAGCAGCAGCAGCAGCAGCAGCAGCAGGGCAGGGCGGCTCATTCTGGCAGCAGCTGCCGCTGAGGCTTCCACCTTCAGGGCTATCTGCCTCAGCTTTCACCGCTGCTGCCCTCAGCCGCTTTGAAGCCTGGTAGCTCACCCCCCCGTCCGGCTGATAGCTCAAGTCCCCAGCCTGATACACCAACCTCCTTTCACGCTGACAGCTCAACCCCGAGGCGTGTGTTGTGAAGGTGATCGGGTGCGGAAGCAGAGGGGCCGTGGCGGGTGCAGGGGCATCGGTGCGGCGGCGGCGCTTCTGGCAGGAGGCGGGAGGGTGGTTGTGGAAGCCAGACGTGGTCATGCGCACCACCTTGCGCATCTCCACTCGCTCAGGGCGGGTGGGGCTGCCTTCATCCTCCAAAGCACCAGCCGCGGTTGCACCAGCCGTGGTCATGCGCACCACCTTGCGCATCTCCACGCGGGCAGAGGGGGTAGGGGGAGTTGAGTCGCTGCCTTTCACGCGCTGCAAGTCCCCATAGGGGGAACCCTCGTCTTCTGATGCATCAGCCGCAGTTGCGGCGTCAGCAGCAGCAGCAGCAGCAGCAGAAGTACTTGCAGTACCAGCAGCAGCGGGAGCGGTGTCGGCGGTGTGTGCGGTGTGCTTGCCGCGGGGCGGGCCGGCGATGCGGTCCTCCACCTTGCGTGCCGTGCATCCCGTGACGGACTTGCACACACACGTGAAGTAGATCCTGGAGAGAGGGGGGGGGGGGAGGAATGGGAGAGAGGTAGAAGAGGAGGTTCAGTCATTGGATCAACTCGGCCTTGCACACACACGTGAAGTAGATCCTGGCAAGGGGGGGAAGCACTATGGTGTGGTCGGTGCATGGGAGAAAGGTAGGAACAAGATTCAGTTTCAAAGTAGTCTCGGCCTTGCTCACACACGTGAAGTAGGTCTTGAGAAGGGTGAGGGGTGAAGAGCATGGGAGAGAGTTAAGTACAGGTGGGAAATGATCCATCGTAACGGGCTCAATTACTGGCCTTGTACACGGACACGCACGCGCGCGCGCACACACACACACACACGCGCGCGCGCGCGCACACACACACACACACACACGCACGCACACACACACACACACACACACACAAACACACACACACACACACACACACAGAGACACACACACACAAGCCGGGATGTATAATTGTTTGGTCACATGGAAGCGGAGTGGATCCGGACAGGGTTTTAGCGAGAGTTCTCCCACATCAACCTTAAGATACTGAATCTTGGGTAGGGCGGCATACAAAATTAGGGAGATGTGATGTGAACACTCTGTGAACGCCCTTTGAATATCCCAGAGACCGTGTTTTCTCCAACTTAGCGCACGCAATGGGTGGCGTATCATGTAGATAATGCAGTAGCTACCGTTGTTCGAGTCGCCATACTTGTTCTGGGATGACCTGTGAACACCATGAAACCGCCTCACCTTTTGACTGTCCGTTGGCAAAGCCACTTGTGCGATATTTTTTGCCACCGGTAGTGGCTCGGATCTTCTTGGGCAAGATCTGGCGTCATCGGCTTCGCTGCGGACGGCGCGTCGGCGTCGTTGCGCGATGATGTCGCCACGGCTCGCTTTGAACCCTCGCAAATGATTCGTTGCCGCGTCGCCTCAAAGGTCTTTATTGCGGGCGCCGGGGCCGGCGGTGGCGCCGCGTCATCATGACGACGTTGATTGAAACTGCATAGCGTGGAACCCTTTGAGGACGCAAGAGACTTGCCAGGAGTGCGGCGTCTGCTGCTCAATGTCTCCATGGCCGCCACCTTTCTTCGAGGCGAAGAATTTTGGCGTTCAGAATTTCGAGATGGCTCAGTCGCCGACATCAGGAGTTGAAACTACTCTAAAATTAGAATTGAAGTGCCTGCGGACTTACAGAATGGATTAAAAGGCACTGGAGAGTTTCTGACGCGGCTTGGGGATACCTTTTAGTAGGATTATCACCCTAGTAGGGCAGTGTCTAAAAATGGAAATGTGAGTTGCTACAAAAGTGAAGCTTACTGGGAGCAAATGTGGAAAGACAGGTCCTCGGCCCAGTCACTGGAGTAATGGAGGTTCAAAATGGCAGACAGGTCCTCAGCCCAGTCACTTGAGTAATGGAGGTTCAAAATGGCAAGCTTGCCATGTGTGGGCGAAGTAGGGATGGATTGAGAGGAGGGTGTGTTGCACTCCAGCCGCTGCTCTTGCTCGGAGAACAAGACAGCCCAAGAGCTTGTTCCGGTTACAGACAAGACGCAACTTGGGAATACTGTACCCCCAGCCATTTTTGTATAGCTGACCTTCGTGTCATGAAAGTCGGGTATTGATTCAGATGGCTCACAGAAGTCGACACGTGTGACGAAATTTGGATCGTAGAGATCGGTTTGTAAACGAGCGTCCTCGATGCCTGACGGTGGGACAACTCGCATCTTCCCTCACTCTCCGACCCACAGACGAGGAACTGTAAACAAATTTAGACAAGGAAACCAATCAACACCTGTAAGAAAGCCAGATCATTTGCTCTGACGCACACCTCCCGCCCACTGTGGTGATGCCGAGAATCAAGGCAAACACTTTCTTTTGGCGGGAAAAGGAGGTGTAGAGTGCGGAAAACTGCTGACGTGACGAAGCACCAAGCGCAAACCTCCAACCAGATTTGGTTCTGACGGAATCATGCGAGGGTGATGATGTTGATGATGCGCTAAAACTGTACGCTTCCAACTGATTTGTCTCTTTGCTTCCGCTGCCTTCGGCTTCAGTTGGTCGATCCAAAAGGTCAGGCAGCATTGAGAAATAGACGTGCATGACTTTGGGTCATCACATGTGACAGTAACCACATACCGTTGACGTCGCCAATCGTGTTCGCGTCGCATGACAGGTTTGTTCGTTGGGTGCGCGATCCGCGATGCTTGCTCGGGCAACTACACGCCAGGTGGTGACACATCGGCTGCGTTCTGTTGGCGCAATAGTACACCTTGTTCTCGAAACTTTTACACCCCCTAATTTCTCCCCCCGACTCGGGATCACCAGCAAAGGCTTTGGGCTGCCGAGATGGCGAACCGTGAAGGATCACTCAACTGAGAGATGCAGAAATGATCGCTTTTTATACTGTCAGCAACTCATAGAAATGGGGAAGCTTGTGTCCAGTCGGGTCGCATCCAAAATTGTGAAACAATAAGGTTTCAATGTTTGGACAGCAACAGCATACACTAGGGTAAACTTTTGGCTCAAAATTTTGTGGAACGGATGGAAGGCAGAAGCTAGCACCCTAGGATATTCCCGTCTTGTGGATGGTAACCGTTGGGTTCAGAAACTAGCCAAAGTCGTGCATTTCCCGGGCGTTCTTCGCTGCCCCGCACAGCTTGTGCGCCCCTTAAACGCTGGGAGACGAGCGGATGGGACTCGCACAAGCTATACGGGGGGTTTGCCCGTGAACGAAAGGTCATGGCATATTCCGAGCGCACAAGCAATACAGTGTTTTTGCGCACGCATGAGTAATGCGCGCACAACTTCCGCAGCAGAGGTTTAACTCACACTAACGATTCCCTCCGGCCCCAAGCCTTGTCGCGCGCAGGCTATGCGTCAACAGAATGCAGCCATTGGCTCTGTTCTGTAGGCCGTGGCGGTGGGGGGCGAGGGGAAATTGGTAGCTTCCCCCCAGTGCGTTTCTTGGTTTGGAAGGGCGGTCAGCCCGCAAAACGGTGTTCAGTCCGCCATTTCCCCTCCGAACCTGTTCGAAAATGGCTACTGAAGAGCCATTTACCCTCTATGGCTTAGGCTCCAAGAAAGCTACCAACTTCCCCTCCCCATCTTCCTTCTCGGGCAATCATCAAGGCACTCGCTAAGCCCTACGAAACCCGCTCTTTCGAGGCATGGCGAGAGCCAGGGGAGGGATGTACAAGGGTTGGGGACACCAATCTACTACCCTAGAAAGACATGCTGAAATGATGCGCGTAACCTACCCAGAGAAGCAAAATTCGCTCGTTTAAAAAAAAAAAACAAACAAACAAACAAACAAACAAAAAACAAAAACAAAAGAACTTGGGGTGGTGAGGATGTTTGAGAGGTGGTTGGATAATTGGAAGCAGGGTTTGCAATTTGTTTTTCTAGTGCTAAACCTCTTTGCGCAAATGATTTCCCTCCGTTTGAGGTTTATGCTATTTAGTAAACCCTTGCCTATGGTGCGCGAAATTGTGCATGTAAATTCGTCATTTACCGTCGGCACCTTCCGCCCCTAGGCATGAAATTTCCCGATTTCGGTTGTAGCAAGGTGGAGGTGATATCGGTATCGTTCTGCAGGCATCACGGAGGGAAGGGAAGGGAAAATAGGAAGCTGCCTACCTCTGCAATTTTAGGTTCGAAAGGGCGGTCAGCACGGAAAATGCTGACGTGGCAGTCATTTCCCTTCCGAACCTAATCGAAGGGAAATGCCTGCAGAACAGTCATTTCCCCTAAGGGAAATGTACCACCAAGAACGTACCTATTTCTGTCAGAATCCCAGTCACTAACCACTGGGATAAAAGGGCTTGTTTGTGTAGCGGGTGAGTGCGCCCATAACCCCCCAGGCCGCCGTGCCTGTAACCCTTCCCTAGGATCAATCGGGGATCTCCAGTGGACCTCTGACACCCCCCCGCACTGGGATGCCCGAGGTGCACACACCGGGATTCGAACCCGAGACCTTCGCTCTGATACCATGTCAGAATCCCAATCACTAACCACTGGGATAAAAGGGCTTGTTTGTGTAGCGGGTGAGTGCGCCCATAACCCCCCAGGCCGCCGTGCCTGTAACCCTTCCCTAGGATCAATCGGGGATCTCCAGTGGACCTCTGACAATTTCCCCGCACCACTTTCCTCCTCGGGCAAATTTGTTTGCCTCTGCCCCGTCATCGGCCACCCACCATCCACAGGGAAGTGTGACGGTGACGGGAGGGAAGTGCTGGGCGTGGGAACACCCTCCTCCACCAAAAAAACAAGCCTCCCACAACACGGACTAACCCAACCAAGGTGGCACCTCCCAAATCGAAAAAAAAAACACACACACACATACACACACACACCCCAACCACCTTCCCTCCATCAACGTTGAAGTGTTGGCTGATGTGTGATTTGGGGGCTCGTTTTTTGTACAAAGTACCCTGATACAACGAAATACCCTGGTACAGTTAAGCACAGACTTGAATTACCCCTTTGATGGTCGCGCGAAATTCCGCGAGCAGTTCGTCATTTCCCTTGGGAAACTACCACCCCACGATGCGAAATTTCCCATCTCGCATGTTTGCCGGGGGGTGAAAAGGGCCCTCGGAACCCATGTCGGAACCCTCCTTATTTCCTTTCTCCCTCCCTCCTCCCCCACCGTCAAGTGAACGATACCATCGATATGGGATCTGATTAGGAACATGCGTCATTACCTTCGCCCCCCCCTCCTCTCCCCCACGGCATGTCACTACAGAACAGAGCCATTCTCGATGCAAGTGCATGACTGCGATGTGGGGGATCCCATGTGA